TATGCATGCATAGTGCCTTTAAAAATCTCTTCCCTGGGCTGGAGCAACAGCACAGTGGGTAGGGCATTTACCTTACCTGGGTTCGATTACCCCTGAGCACTGCCAGGGGTAATTCCTGAATGCAAAGCCAGGAGTAACCCCTGTGCATCGCCAGGTGTGACCCAAAAATAAAAAAAAATATCTTTTCCCAAAGTAGCATTTACTGTCATAAGCCTTTGAAAATTTTTTCCCAGAATGGCATTTCATATCTATGATCAGAGGATTGTGTAAAACTAAAAAATAATAATAAAATTAAAAAATAAAATAAAAACCTTTATTAAATGTGAGTTCACAAAGCAGCGTGCTGGTGCTGCTACAGTGCATGTGCATTTGGTGCCTCCCATCCTCCCCTGCAGAGAGACAGAGTCGGGATCACAGCCTGATGGTGAAAATGGCCCATTTCATGCAGAGCTGCTAGCATACTTACAGAGCATCTGAGGGGGTCAGAGGTGTAGGACCACATGTCCGTGTGATTTACAGAGTGAAAACATTCCAGCAGAGGCAATTCTCTGGGGGACATCAACTCAAAGGGACACTCTGTCTCCTAGGGATATCTATATTGCTTTTCTCTTTCCTTCTAGTCATATGTATCAAACAATTAATTCAAACAGTCAAACAATTAATTCTACTGTATAAAATCTTTAAGGGGGGCCAGGGGGGCCCCCAACGGCTCTCCCCCTCGCCGCCCGTGTTCGGTGTTCGGGGTGGGCCCGGGCCACTCCCCCAACCAGGGCAGCACAGGTATGGGGCAGATGGTGGACTAAACGAGGGCTAAGCCTTTGATTGACCAGATGCCGTTTATTCCATTCTCCCCACACGCCTGCCCCAGTCTCTCCGAGCCTCCCGTTCTAGTCTCCACTGCTCCTCATTCCCGTCTCCTCCTGTCTCTCCCACTCATCTCTCCACGCTCCATCTCGCAGCCTGGGCTCTCTCCCTCTCTCTCCACATGCCTGCTTCTGTATTCCTCTTCTACGTTCTTCTCTCTCTGTCCCCCTTGCTATTCTCTCCGCAGTCCATCTTGTGGTCCTGCTCTCTCTCTCATTCTCCAACTCTCCTGACTTCCCAGAAGTCTGAGCTGACACCGCACCCAGTCAGGTAGCAAAATCAACATAAGAAAGCCCTCCCTGAGGGCCCACCAAATTCAAAGGGAACACTACCTAAAAGGTATTCCAAAGCCCTTCCTGACTGCCCAAGGGCAAAATACCTCCTAAGGTGTTTTTCTCCTTTCCTCAGTCCAATAACTATCAACATATCAATACTAGTTACTTTTGTATGGACACTGGAAGAGATAACATTAGGCTTAGTTCTCTGGGCTCTGAGACCAAGCAAGGCTTTTACCGTAAATTCCAGACTAAGTCCTCAGGCCAGTTCAGCTTGTCCTTCCCCATGGGGGTCCTGTCTCTTAAGTCATAACAGCTTGCATAAAGATCATGCATTAATGCTTTCTAGAATGTTCCATTTCAATGCCAGGGTAGTTTTGCTACTCGCCCTGGATCCATCCCAGTCCCAGGGCAGGACCTCCCTTTTGGGGTGCTGGGAACTACAGCAACTGAAACCTGAGTCAAGTAATTAGGACCAAGTAATTATGCCCAGGAGCAGATACATTCTCAGAATATATATACTCTCAGAGTCAGTAAACTCCCAAATATTAGAAGCATAGCATTAATGGTCTTTCTGTGTTTAACCAAAGAACATTGTTTTATAGTGAAATATAAAAAGGCTATAGAGGAAACAGAAAAGCAATTAATTCACTACAAATCAAAATCCAGAATGACCAGAAATTTTTGGCTCATCAGTAAACACGACTGACTTGGGGAACTGTGACAATGCGATGTAAAACACAAAGGAAAGGTTAAAGATAAACTCAGGGGATTAGGGATGCTCATGAGCACTGTGAGCTTTGCTGGGAGGAGAAAATGGGGCAATTCACTGATGAAGCCTAAAACACTTGGATTCAATGTCCAACAATTAAACACCATGGTTTACTTGTTCATGATGCATTTCTTACCAGCATTCAATATTCCAACACCAAGCCCACCACCAATAATATCACCTTCCCACCACCATTGTCTCCATTTTCCCAACCACCCTTCAAGCCTGCCCTGATAGAAGGCCCAAAATAATTTATTTTATATTGCTTATTACCGGGCTGGAGTGATAGCATAGCAGTAGGGCGTGGGATTCGATTCCTCCTCCCCTCTCACAAAGCCCAGCAAGCTACCGAGAGTACCGCTCCCGCACTGCAAAGCCTGGCAAGCTACCCATGACGTATTCGATATGCCAAAAACAGTAGCAACAAGTTTCACAATGGAGACACTACTGGGCCAGCTCGAGCAAATTGATGAACAACAGGAGGACAGTGCTACAGAGCTTGCTTGTTACCAATAAATGGCTAATGAAATTATAAATAAATATATGTATATATATATATATATATATTCTTAGAAGAAAATTTGCAAAACTTATTTTATCTCATAGTGGGGACATTAAGTCTTTGTCTGAGGGGTTACTAAAAGTAAGCTTTTAGTTACAAGTAAGGTTACAAGTAAGCTTTCTGTGTTAATGTTTTTGTTAATCAAAATGGGTTGGCTTCTACTTTACATTCCATCCAATCTGGTGCACTGCTACTGGATTGCCAGTGTTGTAGAGTTTGAAGATGTCACATGGCCACATTCCAGAAAATTCAGAATTTTTTACTGGGCAGTTCAGTTGGAGTTAATTTTTTTTTTTTTTTTGCTTTTTGGGTCACACCTGGCGTTGCTCAGGGGTTACTCCTGGCTCTGCACTCAGGGATTACTCCTGGTGGTGCTTGGGGGACCATATGGGATCCTGGGAATCGAATCCGAGTCAACTGCATGCAAGGCAACCGTCCTACCTGCTGTGCTATTGCTCCAACCCCTGGAGTTAAGTTTTTAACTAGGCTGTTCCTAAGAAAGTTTTGTAGTTAGTTGATTTCTTTTGAGATTTATTTATGAATCTCTGGAACAGGGTGGTATATGAACTTACATGGTGACAGAGGTGGTTTGTGAGTGTGGTTGCCCAGGCTCCCGGAAGTACAGGGAGTTAGGGGGAGGTAGCCCATCCCAACTAATTCCGAGAAGGCTTGGAGTTTTTCACCACAGTTTTTCACCAATGTACCAGAGTTTTTCTGGCAGGTTTAATTCTCCATGAGGCTCAGTTCTGAGGTGAAGAAGTCCTGTTAGATGCATGTAGGTTTTGGGGTGTGGAAGCAAGCAGCTGCAGGGCTGTCTCAGCCAGGAATGGATGCCTGAGATCTTTTGCGGCTGGTTGATCTCTTTTGAGATTTATATATGAGAAGGTTGATAGATAAGCTCACACAGAGGTAGAGGTGTTTCCCCATTTAGAGCTTTAAAGCAGACTTATGAAAGCAATATAGTTTTTTTGTTTTGTTTTGTCTTTTTTTTTTTTGCGTCACACCTGGTAATGCACAGGGATTATTCCTGGCTCTGTACTCAGGAATTACTCCTGGCAGTGCTCAGGGGACCATATGAGATGCCAGGGATCGAATCCGGGTTGGCAAGACAAACACCCTACCTGCTGTGCTATCACTCCAGCCCCGGAAGCAATATAGTTTTAAGTCATCTTATGATACATATAGAGACGCAAGACTTATTTATTTTAAATCAGGTTACTCAAACATTCATTTTTGTCATGTTTTGGGGCCACCTCCGGCTATGTGGCCCGGGGCTTATTCCTGGCTCAGTGCTCAGGTGTCACTCCTGCTGGCTCAGACCACATAGGATACCGAGGATCAAATCTGGTATGGCAAATGCCCTACCCACTGTACTACGGTCCCAGGCCCTAATTTGTGGTTTTACTCAAGCATCATGATTTATAAAGTTAGTCAGAGTGGAGTTTTAGATATACAGTTTTTCAGTACCAATCCCATTATTGGTGTCAGCTTCCCTCACCAGCTTCCCATAGTTCCCTTCCACCCCCCCCAGGCTGGACCCCGGGGGAAGTACATTTTTAAGTTTGTTTCTTGTCATTTGGATTTCAAGAAAATATAACTTATGAGTGGGGGGTATGTAATTGATAATCGGGACTTACTCATCACTCTACGCTCAGGAATCATTCTTGGCAGGACTCAAGGATCATACGTGATAATGAGGATCAAACTCAGGTCTACTGTGTGTAAGGCCAACAAACTATCTGCTGTACTGTTGCTTTAGCCCTTCAAACATTTCTTTGTTTCTTTGTTTTGTTTTGTAACTACATCATTTGGGGGGGGTTGTTTGTTTGTTTGTTTTTTGCATTTTGGGTCAAACCCAGCAATGCTCAGGGGTTACTCCTGGCTCTGCACTCAGGAATTACTCCTAGCAGTGCTTGGGGGACCATATGGGATCAAACCCAGGCCGGCTGCGTGCAAGGCAAATGCCCTACCCACTATACTATCGCTCCAGCCTCGCAATTTTGGTTACTTTAATGGAGAAAACAGCTCTTCAGTGCAACCTTGAAATTTAAAAATCTTTAATATGCTTTATTTCCCCTCACATGTGTTTCAAAATCTCAGTCTTTCCAATTGAAAACAGAAAAATGGAGAAAATTGAAAGGGAAAAGTACAAAAAGAATGTTGGTCACAACAACAAATTTTACTATAAAGTAGTTAGATATGAGTGTAATTTCAGTATTCCTGAGTTGCTTACAACAAAATGACCTAGCAATGAGGAATGGTCTATGTGTACCCAATTTCATGGGCTGGAGCGATAGCACAGCGGTAGGGCGTTTGCCTTACATGCAGCCAATATGACTGACCCGAGTTCGATTCCTCCGCCCGTCTCGGAGAGCCCAGCAAGCTACCGAGCGTATCTCGCCACACGGCAAAGCCTGGCAAGCTCCCCGTGACGTATTCGATATGCCAAACACAGTAACAAGTGTCACAATGGAGACGTTACTGGGCCCACTCGAGCAAATAGATGAACAAAGGGAGGACCGTGACCATGACTGTGACCCAATTTCATGTTATCCCCAAAAGGTGTCTCTGTGCTGTGGACCCACACAACGTAACAGGGGCTGTGGAATTCCTCCTCCTGGGACTCTCCGATGATCCCCAAGTCCAGCCTCTCCTCTTCTGCCTCTTCCTGTCCATGTACCTGGTCAGCATCACGGGGAACCTACTCATCACCCTGGTCATCACCTCTGACCCCCACCTGCACACGCCCATGTACTTCTTCCTCTCCATCCTGTCCACGGCTGACATTGGTTCCATCTCCACCACGGTGCCAAAAATGATTTGGGACATCCACACTCAGAGCAGAACCATGTCTCATGCAGGTTGCCTGGTGCAGTTGTCGTTTTTTTATTTTTTCAGTTGTCTGGATAATTTAATTCTAGTTATAATGGCGTATGATCGCTTTGTGGCCATCTGCCATCCCCTGCACTACCCTGTCATCATGAACCCCCACCTCTGCAGCCGGCTGCTTCTGCTGTCCATTTGCACCAGTCTGTTGCAGTCCCAGCTGAATTGCCTGATAATGTCACAGCTCACCTTCTGCACCCACGTGGAAATTCCACATTTCTTCTGTGACCTTCCTCAACTCCTCAGTCTATCCTGTGGGGATACCTTCGTGGATAACATGTTACTCTATTTTATCGCTGCTATTTTTGGGGGAGTGCCAGTCTCAGGGATCCTGTACTCTTATTCCAGAATTGTGTCCTCTGTTTTGAGAGTCTCTTCCATGGGTGGGAGGTACAAAGCCTTCTCCACCTGTGGTTCTCACTTGTTTGTTGTTTGCTTATTTTATGGAACAGGCATTGGGGTGTACGTCAGCTCGATTAACTCCGGTTCTCCTAGGAAGGGGGCAGTGTCTTCTGTGGTGTACACAATTATTGTCCCCATGCTGAACCCCTTCATCTACAGCCTAAGAAACAAGGACATCAAGAGAGCTTTCCAGAAGCTTCTCGGTAGAAGACCATAATTTTAATGTATATATGTCTCTTTTTTACTACAATGCATGCAAAATTAACAGTCTGAAATCAGCAATCAGGATTTTGTCAATAGTTTTGTAACTCTGGCTGCTGAGCGATGGTAAGGTGGGGAGGGCAATTACCTTGCATGCAACTGACCCCAGTTTAATATCCAGCATCCCATAGCATCCCCTGAGCTCGCCAAAAGTGATCCCCTGAGAGCAGATTTAGCTAACCTGTAGTTACTTAGAACCTGGGAGTGTTGTAAGATGATTCCTGGAGTGGGGATGACGATGCTCAAGATTCGAGCATGCAGTGTGGCAGGGACAATGGCGCCCACACGGAACAAAGACTCGTAGTCTAGGACAAAGTATAGTAGCAGAAGTAACGGTTAAGTAGAGGTTGGAGGAATCTGCCCACATGTACTTAGCAAACAAGTAGCATGGGGAGGAAGGAGAATGTTATGGCTAGAAAGCAGCTTTTAGAACACTTTCCTTAGGGCTGTAAGGCAGAGGCAAGGTTGAAGTATTGCTGACATCCAAAGACATCTTTTCCCCAAATCCTAAGCCATCAGCCTCTGGTATTTTGGCTTTTTGGGTCACACTTGGCGATGCTCAGGGGTTACTCCTTCACTCTGTACTCATGAATCACTCCTTGCGGTGCTCAGGGGGACCATATGGGTTACTGGGGCCAGAACTCGGGTCAGCTGTGTGCAAGGTGAGGACCCTGTATGCTGTACTCTGGCCCTAAGGAATATAATTTTTAATTCCAAATTCTATTAGTTTCCTGTTTCAATTCCAAGATAACCGATGACGGTTTCCCCAGAAGTTGGGGGCTACAGATGGCCACCACCGTTGCTGTATCTTCCCTCAGTTTTGTATTTGTATGTGGTAGCAGTCGTAATGAGAGTTTAGAATATGATTTTATAAGTTTTTTAATCGCAGAATCAGGGATAGAACTCCGCGGAAGAGCAGGTGCTTTGTATGTGTGAGACCTAGGTTTGAGTCCTGATCCCCATCTGGGCACCTGAGCACAGGAGCTTTTCCCAAATACCAATGGGCATTAACCCTGTAATCAAAAAGACAAAGAAAAAAATTAAACGCAAGTTTAACCATTCATTAGTAAGCATTTTAGGCTACTTCTGATTTTTCTCCTGCCTAAAGTGAATTTGTTATTATTTAATTGCCCTCTTCAGTGATACTTTTTCCCATTTTGGTTTGGTTTGGTTTTTGCACTACACCTGGCAGTGCTTGGGGCTTACGACTGGCTCTGTGCTCATGGTTCACTCCTGGCAAGGCTTGAGGGCCCTACAGGGTGCTGGGGATCGAACCCGGGCTGGCCATATATGGAAGGCAAGTGCCCTATTCTATGAACTCTCTCCAGTCCCCATTTTATTTGTGGGGGGTCCCAGTATGTTGTGGCCAGTCAGGCCTGTAGTGCTGGGCATTTCCCAGGCCATCCCAGGGTGTTTGAGAGCCCTGCATCATGTGTTTGGCAATGTTTGGGTGACTTTGTGGTGCCTGGGATCAACCCCCTGTCCTATCTCTCCTGCTCCGGAATAAATGTTATTTTGGGCAGTGCCGGGGATCAGACTCAAGCCTCACACATACAAATCAAATCTCTGCTACAGAACTACATCCCAGACTGAATTCTCCACAGTGCATACCCCTGCATGTCTGCAGCACGTTAATGCACTGGAGCCCGATTTGCCTCGCCATACTGCCAGACTTGCCTGACTGCTTTTTTTTATGGCTTTATCCGACTTCTACTATAGCCAGTACTTGATGACTGCACTAGTATTCCACTTTTCCCATCACCTTTGCAGCATTGAGGCATCGTCGTTAGTTTCTTTTTTAACCAATTAAATGTCCCTTGCCTAATTTTGTATCTTTGGTCATTAGCAAAGTGGAATATAGTTCATTTGATATGCCAAACACAGTAACAAGTCTCACAATGGAGACGTTACTGGGCCCACTTGAGCAGAATCGATGAACAACGGAAGGACAGTGCTACACACACACACACACACACACACACACACACACACATACATATATATATAGGAAACACATAGTGTGAGTTGACGAGTTGACTGTCATAGTTTATGTCAGTTACATCCCAAGACTTGCATCAGTGGGTACTGAAAGAGAGCAGAAGTCCATGTACTCAGTGAAACTCATCACCCCCATTGTAGAGGTAGGAGAACCATCTTGCTTCCTGAAACGTTGCCTTTGCGAACTCTTTACACATTTAATGATTGCACTATCAATGAAAACCAAATGACTTCCTAGAAAGTCAGCCAGTTTTCTGATCTCATTCTTGGTAAGAGATCATTAAAGGAAAGCTTACGCCTGGTTGGTCATTAAGTTCCAAACACAGGTGGCTGGTAATAGTTTAATATGCCCAGTTTTCTTTTATTCATCATTATTCATGGGCCCAGGCATGTGGCTCAAGCTGGGTCCTTGAGTATTTGCCCCACATAGGTGAGGCCCTGAAGTCCAGCTCTGAAAAAAGAAACAGTTATTTTTTTAATGAGGGACCCAGCATGTTTTCAGAGTCACTCGTTTCTTTTTTCCCTTCATAGCTTGTCATTCTCCAGAAGGCATGTTTCAGCAGGCATTTATCAGGTGATCGAGGTGATCAGTGTTCCACCTCTTAATGAAGGATGCTGGTTATCACCTCAGGTCACAGGGCTGCTCCAGATACTGCCCTTCAGAAATTGCAGGCGGGGTCGGGCCTGGTTGGTGATGCCGCCCTAGCCCTCTCGGGATAGCCTTAGGATTCTGCATTTTGAGTTAGTAGATGGGCTGGAGCGATAGCACAGTGGGTAGGGCGTTTGCCTTGCATGCAGCCGGCCTGGCCGAGCCAGGTTCGATTCCTCTGCCCCTCTCGGAGAGCCCGGCAAGCTACCAAAAGTATCTCGCCCACAAGGCAAAGCCTGGCAAGCTCCCCATGACGTATTTGATATGCCAAACACTGTAACAAGTGTCACAATTTGTTGTGAGACATTACTGGTGCCCGCTCAAACAAATCAATGATCAATGGGAGGACAGTGCTACAGTGCTGCATTTTCATAGAGAAAAACTAAAGGCATCTGTTGGTTATAAACTACCTCTGTTAGAAATCGTGAATGACACCATACAGAAAACAAATTTCATACTTCTTGCTCCTTTCTCAAAGTTTAACTGTGCAAATACCTGAGGATGTGTTTCGGGACTCTCAAATCTATTCCATTGGTTATGCCCGAGTTTCAGATCTCCAGTCACAAAGAGACCAAGTCCACACACCATAATGCAAAAGCAAAGGAACTTTATTGCTAGCTCGATCTAGGGTTCAAGTCTCATCCAATGCCATGGAGTCTCTTTTATTTTTTTGCTTTTTTGGGGTCACACCCAGCGATGCACAGAGCTTATTTCTGGCTCTGCACTCAGGAATTACTCCTGGAGGTGCACGGGGGACCAAATGGGATGCTGGGAATCGAACCAGGTTGGCCGCGTGGAAGGCAAATGTCCTACCTACTGTGCTATCATTCTAGCCCCCCTTCAGTGGAGTCTTGACAAGGACCCCAACTCTAGTTTCAGAGGGCATTATAAAGCATATACTGACATAATCTATTCATTCTTTACAGTTAGCAAAAGACAATTTCTGGCACATGGTGATTGATTGAGCTCGTTTGCTGGGCCCAGGAACTTTCCAGGTGGGATCAGGCTGGCTAGTTACGCATTGTTTGATTTCTGGAAATACGAATCTTTTTCAGTTCCAGGAACTGAACCAACCTGAGACCTTCCTGATTTTTCTCATTTCTTCTGCCAGTCGTGGCATTGTCATTGCTTATGCTGTGATTCGTCTCTGCAGTCTGTCTTTCTTTCACACCACACTGTTTGGATTGCTAGACTTTTATAGTATAGTTTGAAGCTGGGGAAAGAGAACTGTCCCATTTTCTTTTTTTCTAAGAGTGTTTTGACTATTGGGGCAAATTTATTGTATAAATTTCCAAGGACAGCTGACTGCATAAAGAAACTTTGGTAAACACAATGGAATGCTATTTGGCTATAAGAAAAGGTGGATTCAGAGACTGGGACAATAGTACAGCGTGTAGAGCACTTGCCTTACATAAGGTCAACCCGGGTTTGAACCCTGGCATTTCATGTGGTCTTCTGAGCCCATCCATGAGTTATCCTTGAGTGAAGAACCAGGAGTAAGTCCTGAGCACTGCTAGGTGTGACCCCAAACCAAAACAAAACAAAGAAAAGGTGAAATCATGCCATTTGTTGCTACGTGCATGGATCTGCAGAGTATCACGCTGAATGAAGGTAATCAGAAAGAGAAGGGCAGACACAAAATGGGCTCTCTCATAGGGGGATTAAGAAGTGTAAAAATGCCTTGCAAGCAACCAACCTGGGCTCGATTCCCAGCATCCCATATGGTCCCCCGAGTACCACCAGGAGTAATCCCTGAATGCAGAACCAGGAGTAACCCCTGAGCATCGATGGGTGTGACCAAAAAAAAATAAAAATAAGGGTGAAAATTAACACTAACAAAATCAAAAGGCTTGGCACATTCAACCTCTGGCTAGTGAAGGTCAGTCTTAGAGAAACAAACACACAAAGACTGCCCAACCTTTAGGGTCAGCTGGGAAACCCTGAGTGAACTCACAGGCTGGCCACTTATTCAGTAAAATACTCCTTCAACACCCTGGCTCTCAATAAATAAGAGAATTGAGAGAATTGTCCTCCCGTTGTTCATCAATTTGCTCGAGCGGGCCCAGTAACATCTCCATTGGAGACTTTTGTTGTTACTGTGTTTGGCATATCGAATACATCACAGGTAGCTTGCCAGGCTCTGCCATGCAGGCGAGATACTCTCGTAGCTTGCCGGGCTCTCCAAGAGGGGCGGAGGAATCGAACTCGGGTCGGCCATGTTGGCTGCATGCAAGGCAAACGCCCTACTGCTGTGCTATCGCTCCAGCCCAATAAATAAGCCTCTTTTTTTAATTTGTTTTATTTAGTGAATCACCGTGAGATACAGTTATAGATTTATAAACTTGCATGATTATTTTTGGGTTCAAGTACCCATCCCTCCACCCATGCCCATTCTCCACCACCAATGTTTCTAGTATCCCTCCTGCCACCCCCATTGTACCCACCACCACCTCTGTGGCAGGCACATTCCCTCTTATTCTCTCTCTCCTTCTGGTTGTTATGGTTTGCAATATAGGTACTAAGCGGTCATCATGTTTGGTCCATAGTCTACTTTCAGCATGCAACTACCATCCCAAGCAAGCCCTCCAACCATCACTTACTTAGTGGTCCCTTCTCTATCAGCTGCCTTTTCCCCCAGCACATAAGATCGGCTTCCAAGCTGTGGAGCAATCCTCCTGGCCCTTATCTCTACTATCCTTAGGCGTTAGTCTCCTATTATGTTACTTTATATTCCACAAGTGAGTGCATTCTATGTCTGTCTCTCTCTTTATGACTCATTTCACTTAGCATGATACTCTCCATGTCTATCCACTTGTGTGCAAATTTCATGATTTCATCCTTTCTAATAGCTGCATAGTATTCCATTGTGTAGATATACCAAAGTTTCTTTAACCAGTCATCTGTTCTCAGGCATTCAGTTTTTTCCAGATTCTGGCTATTGTAAATAGTGCTGCAATAAAACATACAAGTTTAGATGTCATTTCTACTGTACTTTTTTTGCATCTCTGGCATATTTTCCCAGAAGTGGTACTGCTGGGTCAAATGAGAGCTCAATTTATAGTTTTTTAAGAAACGTCCATATTGTTCTCCAAAAAGAAATAAGCCTCTGTTTAAGTGGATGGAGAACCCTGAGGACAGTTGGTGAACACATTATAACACAGTGGGTACCAGGAGAGCAGAGACAGAATCACTCACACAGCCAATCAGCAGGCACCTTAACCAACAGAGCAAAGTCACCACAGTTTCCTAGTCTAGTTATCCCTATGTTACCCTCTACATCTTCAAGAACCAAAACTTTTTTATTCTGTCCTTTCCTGGTGCAGAACCTAATGGACAAGTAATCACTCTCTGGGAAAAAGTTCTCGGGTTTAATTAAATTCAATTCCTCTCTAGAGAACAGGCAATGGTGGAGGGATGGGCACTCGATCATTATATGACTGAAATGTAAGCACAAAATTTGTTAAGTCTGTAACTGTACCTCACGGTAATTCATTAAAAATTAAAAATTAATAAATAAATAAATTTTTAACTGGATGGTAAAAAAAATTCAATCCCTCTCTTTTCAGTCCTTATTATTAGGAGGTCCTCGGAGACTGGACTAACGAGGAACACTGGCTCTCACCCAGAGTCCTGTGATTGATCCCTCAAGGCCCTGGAGGAGTAATAAGGACTCAGCCCCGCAGCTCTGGGGGTTACTTCTCTCTAAAGCTCCTACCTGCGTCCCCTTTCACCATCATCGCCTGTGCAAGTTCATGCCTGATTTCGCCTTCCTGCCCATCCGGGAGCCTCAGCTCTCATTCCTCATGAGGGAGGAAAGAGCCGGGGGCCCCAGCTCCAAGCATGAGCCAGCAGAGACCCAGCAGAGACCAGTGAGTGCTGATGGGGGGTGCTGGGTGGGGGAGGCTGGTCCTGAAATTTCTCTCCTAATCCGTAAAGTGGGACCTGGAGGCAGACATGGGGGTCACCACGGGCATTGTTTCCATTGCAAACACACGTGTTTGCTTTTCCTATTTGGGTGATTCAGATCTCTCATGAAGAATCCTGTTCTCCCTGCCAATATATCCAGCTTCTGTTGGAATTTCCTGATGAACGAAAAATAAATAAATAAACCATCAAGAATCTGTCCCAAGGGGCTGGAGCAATAGCACAGTGAGCAGGGCGTTTGCTTTGTACTTGGCCAATCCGGGTTCGATTTCCAGCAACCCATATAGTCTCCCGAGCACCACCAGGAATAATTCCTGAGTACATGAGCTAGGAGTAATCCCTGTACATCTCAAAAAAAAAAGAATCTGTGCCAATTACACTCAAATGTTCATAGCTCTGCTGATGTTCATCATTATGATAAGAAGGGGAGTAGCAACAACATCCCAACTTGTTATCAATATTTTCCTCTGACAGACTTTGATGATGATATTGTGCAATTTTGCACTTTTCTTTGTTTTACACTTTTGCAAAATCAGTGATGACATGGGTGGGCAGCTTTATCTGGCTTAAGTGGACATTTAGAACTGAAAAAAAGAATATGTAATTTTTTTCCCTACTGCCTCAACAATGTTTTGTAGGAGTGTGAATTTTCTTACGTTTTAGTGGTACAATGTTTCCACACCACCATTTATGAATTTGCCAGATTCTAGGATAAAAAAACAGGAGACGGAGCCTGCATGGACCTGAGCAGGCCCAAGTTGTGTCCTGACAACTCAACCTTCATGGTCCTTTCCCAGGTCTGTCCAAGTTCAGTGTCTGCAGGAAAACAACCTGGTGGCGTCCATTAGCAACTCCGCTCCATCTACACAGTGTGGGCGTGGTGCAGTGACTAAGACAAACCCTGCATTGAAAAATTCTACTGTGCTGTAGTGACAGCACAACGGGTAGGGCATTTGCCTTGCACATAGCCGACCTGGGTTCAATTCCCAGCATCCCATATGGTCCCCTTGAACACCGCCAGGGGTGATTCGTGAGTGCATGAGCCAGGAGTAACCCCTGAGCATCACCAGGAATGACCCAAAAAGAAAAAAGAAAGAAAAAGAAGAAGAAAAACTCATGAACACAACCAATTTTCGTGAGTTCAAAGGAACACACTTGGACAATATGTCTGCCATATGTGGCATACCTTTGTTCCTGTGAATTCCCATCTTTGTAATTCTCTTTTCTCTGTGTGTGATGCTCAGGTCTGTAGCCAGGTTTGACAGCTGATGTTGATGATGTGGGAGTCAAATGATTGGAATTGGCAGAGTCCTGGGGATACGGGGTCATTAATTCAGGATCTGACTCTGCAGGCAAATAGAGCCATTACTGAGTTCAAGGGCAGGGCACTCAGCTCAGCCATGAAACATTGAGATGGCAGTGGGGGGACTTATCATCTTGGTGGCAAATATATGACAACTTGCTTTGTGTAGAGGTAAAGAAAGAGAGCTCACGGGGTGGGGGGACATCAGGGGGAGGTGCTCCATCCGAGGTCAAAGGCATTGCCAGAATGGTTTATGGCTCAGAGACTGAATGTTCAATGTCCACTACTGGGGCTTTGAGAATTCAAGAGGTTTTGCAATGGGGCTTGGAGCAGGAGGAGAGTCACCTTGTACAGGCAGGTAGGTTTATTTTTCCTCTAACTGATCTTTAATTAAATTCCATTATTTGTCTTCTACAAATTGTGTCTGTAAATTTGGAGTTGAAATGAGGTAAGTGGCATTCCTCTGTTTCAGGTATTTTCTTTCTCTCCCATGGTCAAGGTTTCTATTCTTTCTATTTCCTTGTTATACAGATTTTCATTTGGTCCCAAGGTATGTGTCCAAGGAGGGTCACTCACTTTCTCTCTCTCTCTCTCTGCCTCTCTGTCTCTCTCTCCCTCTCGCTCTCTCTCGCGCGCGCTCTCTCACTCTCTCTCTTGCTCTCTCTCACTCTCTCTCGCTCTCTCAATCTCTCTCTTGCTCACTCTCTCTCACTCCAGTTTACAAATTTATTTCTCCCGTATGCTTGAATTCAGGTTCTTCAGTGTTAAACACCTTCTCGAGGATAATGTCGTTCAGATGATGTGTGTCACCTCAGCTTCAATCAGGTTTGAATTGAAACTTTTCCTGTGTCCCAACAAGAATCTTGTCTCTATAATATTCTAATCTGGACATTTCTTGTGACAAATCCATGACAGCAGTATCAGATTGTGTTTGCAAATGTTTGCTCATGTCAACTTAGCTTCTTAGCAAGACAAAGCACAGCACACTGAGAAGAAAATAGAAGTTCATCTATGAATTTGGCGAGCAAAGAGAACCTTCTGAGATTCTTTGAATTAGCAGAAATGTACAGAAATCACATGGTTTGTCTTCCTTAACATAGTCATGATGCTAAGAGTTCAGTTTTTCTGCATAGATGCAATGGCTCTTGCCACAGAAAATAGAAAATATTTTCTATTTCTATAGAAATATATATTTCTATATATTTATATTCTATAGAAATTCTATAGAAATTTATATTTCTATTTCTATAGAAATATATATTTCTATATATTTATATTCTATAGAAATTCTATAGAAATATATAGGGCTGGAGCGATAGCACAGCGGGTAGGGCGTTCGCCTTACAAGCGGCCAACATGGCTGACCCGAGTTCGATTCCTCCGCCCCTCTCGGAGAGCCCAGCAAGCTACCGAGAGTATTCGATATGCCAGACACAGTAACAACAAAGTCTCCAATGGAGACGTTACTGGGCCCGCTCGAGCAAATCGACAATCAACGGGAGGGCCTTTTTTATTTATGTAGAGATAAATCACAGTTGCATATACAATTCTAGAGTTGAAATTGATTAATAACAGAAATACTATGAAAATCAATCAGTATAAAAAAATAAATTTTATGTGAAAATTATATCACCGGGTACTTAAGTCCTTGTCTGGGAATTGGCAATGTTGTTTGTTCTAGTTGACCATTCTGTGTTATTGTTTTTGTTTGTTGAGTTTAGTTGACTTCTATGTTACTTCCCATCTAATTCGGTGTGCTCCTAGGGGGCTGGAGCGATAGCACAGCGGGTAGGGCACTTGCCTTGCACGCGGCCAACCCGGGTTTGATTCCCAGCATCCTATATGGTCCCCTTAGCACCACCAGGGGTGGTTCCTGAGTGAAGAGCCAAGAGTAACCCCTGTGCATCGCCGGGTGTGATCCAAAACTTTTTTTAATTTTTTTAAAAATTAAAAAAAAACATAATTTGGTGTGCTTCTACTGGAATTTCAATACTGAGAAATTTAGTGTCCTGCAACCTTATATGCAGCCGCCATGAAGTCCAGAGACTTTATGATCTTTGGGCTGGATGCCAGAGTACCTGAAATTACTTGCCATTTGGCATCTTTGTAGAGAGTATTAGTGAAGCAGTGAGCTGAGTCCGTAGCGTGGCTGTAGAAGTGGGGTGTGGATGCAGCTTCTGTGACTTCGGCACAGCAGGTACTTGGCCCACCAACATCCTGAGGAAGCCCCAGATTTTTCAGCCGTGAGGACGTTTGTCCATGAATTTTAACTTCTTGACTTGCATCTTCTCAGAGATTTAGTCAGAAATCAGTAATGCAAGCACAGGTGGGTGAGTCGGCATCAAAAATAAATTCTTTAAATGAAAATATTTGACCCTTTTCTGATAAAGAGGCAGGTTGGAGGGTGGGAGGAAACTCGGGGCTGGTGGTGGGATTGGTGTTGGAGTATTGTAGCCTTAAAACGCTATTATGAACAAATTTGTAAATCATGGGGACTTAATAAAAATGTGTTTTGAGATAACATTATTTATTCAGGTGCTAACAAAGACTTGCTATTTCAGTATATTGCTACTCAGTATATTCAGTATTTTGCAAACTGATTACAATGAACTTCTAGTTAACTAGGAGCACTATAATAATTGTAATGATTTTGTTCTCATGGAAACATTTAAGGCAGGGGAATATTCTATCCTTACAATAGAATATAATGAATATTCCATACAATATAATAAATATTCCAATGTTCATTATAACAATATTTACTTTTAAGGATACTCAGAATATGTCTAATCCCTATTGTTTATTTTATGTCTATGTGCGTTTGGGCCACCCATCACGATTGCTAAAGAACTGCTTCTGACTCAGTGCTCAGTGATCCCCATTGGAGAGCACAGGGGACCAGGAGTGTCAAACACTGAACCTGACCCTCAGAATTTTTCAAATCATGTAATACAGCTCTCTGAGCAATATTCTCTTCCTCACATACATTTAGCTCAGTTTTTCTTAAATTAAAAAACATCCAGAAAGATTAAGATAAAATTAAACACAAAACAGTTCTAAGAGAATGTTTATCACAACCAGTAAATATAGCAAAAATAACGGTGAGGACATAAGTTTAGTTTCTGAGATCGGAGCTATAGTACAGTGGGTAGGGCATTTGCCTTGCACACAGCAGACCCAGGTTCGATCCCCGGCATCCTATATGGTCCCCCGAGCACCACCAGGAGTGATTCCTGAGTGCAGAGCCAGAAGTAACCCCTGAGCATCACTGGGTGTGACACAAAAAGCAAAACATAAGTAAATAAGTTTAGTTACTGCACTTATATATTACTTATGGACAAACTTGCAGGCTATTGAATGTAGCCTGCCCACAGGGCAGAGTCTGGCAAACTCCCCGTGGCGTACCAAATATGCCAAATACCAGTAACAATGATGGGTCTCATTCTCCTAAAGAGCCTTGAATATAATCTCAGGGCTAGGATGAAAGAGACGTTACTGGGGCCTGCTCGAGGCAATCGACGAATAACAGGATGATATATTACTTAAAAACAGAATATAGAGACAGTGAGGAGAGATTATATAACTAAACCCATACTCATATTTCCCTCCACAAGGTGTCTCTGCTCCGTGGACCCACACAATGGAACAGGGTCAGTGGAATTCCTCCTTCTGGGGCTCTCAGATGACCCACAAGTCCAATTTGTCATCTTCTGCCTCTTCCTGTCCATGTACCTGGTCACCATCACGGGGAACCTGCTCATCATCCTGGCCATCACCTCTGACCCCCACCTGCACACGCCCATGTACTTCTTCCTCTCCATCCTGTCCACGGCTGACATTGGCTTTACCTCCACCACGGTGCCAAAGATGATTTGGAACATTCACACTCGGAGCAGAGCCATCTCTCACGCAGACTGTTTGGTACAGTTGACTTTTTTTTATCTTTTTGGTTGTTTGGACAGTGCCATTCTAGCTGTGATGGCTTATGATCGCTTTGTGGCCATCTGCCACCCCCTGCACTACCCCATCATCATGAACCCCCACCTCTGTAGCCTGCTGCTTCTGGCGTCTGTTTGCATCAGCCTGATGGAGTCCCAGGTGCATTGCTTGATGATGTCACAGCTCACCTTCTGCACCCGCGTGGAAATTCCTCATTTCTTCTGTGACCTTCCTCAACTCCTCAGTCTATCTTGTGGGGATACCTCCATGGACAACATGTTAATGTATATTTTAGCTACTATTTTTGGGGGAGTGCCAGTCTCAGGGATGCTGTACTCTTATTTCAGAATCGTGTCCTCTGTTCTGAGAATCTCGTCCACGGGAGGGAGATACAAAGCCTTCTCCACCTGTGGCTCTCACTTGACTGTTGTTTGCTTATTTTATGGGACAGCTTTTGCGGTGTACCTCAGCTCTGCTGTCTCCCATTCTCCCAGGAAGGTAGCAGTGTCTTCTGTGGTGTACACAACTATTGTCCCCATGCTGAACCCCTTCATCTACAGCCTGAGAAACAAGGACATCAACAGAGCCTTCCAGAAGCTTCTCAGTAGAAAACCTTAATTTTTTTTTCCTTTTGGGGTCACACCCAGCAATGCTTAGGGGTTATTCCTGGCTCTGAACTCAGTAATTACTCCTGGCAGTGCTTGGGGGGACCGTATGGGATGCCAGAGATCGAACCCAGGTCAGCTGCATGCAAGGCAAAATGCCCTACCCACTGTGCTATCACTCTGGTCCCCGAAAACCCATTATGCTTATAGTTTTCTTTCTGACCACAGGATTATAGTGAGTGTAAAATAAACCATCTGAAATCAGCAATGAAGACTCCTTGTCAATAATTTTATAACTCTTTAATATCTCTTATTGTCCTGAAAATTGCTTATTGTAGCTCATCTTTTGCAGTTTCAGGTAATACTATGGAATCATGTCTATTATCAATGAGACTGCACCATTGAAATCAATCAACCCTCAGAATCAACTAGACATCATTTGATATGCAGAATTGTCCTTTGAAATATAAATATGCATAACAGTTATTCACTGGGCTGGAGCGATAGCACAGTGGTAGGGCGTTTGCCTTGCACGCAGCCAACATGGCCGACCCGAGTTCGATTCCTCCACCCCTCTCGGAGAGCCCGGCAAGCTACGAGAGTATCTCGCCCACACGGCAGAGCCTGGCAAGCTCCCCGTGACGTATTCGATATGCCAAACACAGTAACAACAAAAGTCTCCAATGGAGACGTTACTGGGCCCGCTCGAGCAAATCGATGAACAACCGGAGGACAGTGACAGTTATTCACTATTTTTATGGTCCATGTCTATTTTCATCTGTGTTTACTCTGATCAAATGTAAATGAAACTTGTTATGTGAGAAGACACAAGTTAATGTTCTTAATCACATGTTCATGTATAAAAGCTAAGGGCAGTTGTTGACTATATAGTACCCCTGTTAGAGATAGTGAATGACCTCATATGAAAAACAAATTTCATTTTTCTTGTTCCTTTCTCAAAGATTAGCTGCGCATAATATTACCTGAGGGTCTGTCTCAGGACTCTCAATTCTCCTCTATTGGTTTGATCGTGTCCTTCTTCCAGCACCACAGTTTGCTTTACTATAACTCTATAGTATATTTTGAGACGGGGGAAAGAAAACTGTTCCATTTTTTTTCCTAAGACTGTTTTGACTATTGGAATGGGAGGAAGTGTATAAATTTCCAAGAATAGTATAAATTTACATTTAAAAAACTGTGGGGGGGGGGCTGGAGCAATAGCACAGCAGGTAGGGCACTTGCCTTGCATGCGGCAGACCCAGGCTCAATTCCCAGAATCCCATATGGTCCCCCGAGCACCGCCGGTAGTAATTCCTGAGTACAGAGACAAGAGTAACCCCTGTGCATCGCCGATTGTAACCCAAAAAGCAAAAAATAAAAATAAATTAAATAAATAAAACTATGGTACCCACAATGGACTGTTATTTGTCTACAAGAAAAGGTGAATTTTTATTCTGAAGCAAAAGTACAGTGGGCAAGGCACTTGCCTTGCATACAGTCAACCCAATTTCTTTTTTTTTTAATCATTCTAAGAAGCCTCAAGGTGAAGGCATTTATTTTTTAATTGAATCACTGTGAGATACAGTTACAAAGCTTTCATGATTGAGTTTCAGTCGTACAATGATCAAACACCTAACTCTCCACCAGTGCACATTTCTCTACCCTACCCCACCCCATCTCGCCTCTATGGCAGACAATTTTCTTCTTACTCTCTACTTTGGGGCATTATGATTTGTAATACAGAAACTAAGAGGCCATCATGTTGGGTCTTTATCTACTTTCAGCACACATCTCCCATCCTGAGCGATCCCTCCGACCTCCATTGACTTAGTGACTCCTTCTCTATTCTGGCTACCTTCTCCCCCAGCTCATAAGGCAGGCTTCCAATCATGGAGCAATATTCCTGGCCCTTGTCTCTACTGTTCTAGGGTGTTAGTCTCATATTATGCTATTTTATATTCCACAAATGAGTGCAGAGTCTCCTGCCCCCGCGCCTGGCTCTCCTCGCCAGGGCCCCTTGGAGGGAGGCGGGTTGAGTTTCCCTCCCCGCCCCGAGCAGAGCCCCGGCAGAGCCCCGAAGACCTCCAGAACCAGCCACAACCATGCTGAGACCACTCTCCACACGCATGAAGGTTCCAGCAGAGGAATAAAGGCATGCGGGTCCCAGGGCTGAGATCTCCAAGCCTGCTCGGATTGGGGCTGAGCATCCTCCAGCCAGATCCTCCATCTTCCAGTAGGCGGAGGTCACACCCACCAACTGCCCCCCATCACTGTGTAATCCCATCAACGGCCAGACCCAGAGACTATAAAATCCAGCTCCCAGAAGCATGTGGCCACGAATGTGGCCACGTGACATCTTATTATCTCATTCTTGCTTTGACAACCTGGCAGGCTACCGAGTGTAGCCTGCCCATGCGACAGAGTCTGGCAAACTTCCTGTGGCGTACCCAATATGCCAAATACCAGTAACAATGATGGTCTCATTCTCCTAACCCTGAAAGAGCCTCGAATGTGGCACTTTTTATAATCTCAGGGCTAGGACAAAGGAGACGTTACTGGTGCCGGCTCGAGGGAATCGACGAACAACAGGATGATTGTGATTGTGATTGTGAGTGGTCATTCTATGTCTGTCCCTCTCTGACTCAATTCACTTAGCATAATATTCTCCATGTCCATCCACTCATAAGCAAATTTCATGACTTCATCTTTCCTAACAGCTGCACAGTATTCCATTGTGTAGATGTACCATAGTTTCTTCAACCAGGTTCTTAACCACAGGTAGTTTCCAGATTCTGGCTATTGTGAACAGTGCTGCAATGAACATACAGATGCTGATGTCATTCCTACTGTGCTTTTTTGCACCCCCAGGATATATTCTCAGAAGTGGAATTACTGAGTCATATGGAAGCTTAATTTCCAGTTTTATGAGGAATGCCCATATTGTTTTCCATAGAGGCTGGACCAGTTGGTAGTCCCACCAACAATGAAAGAGAGTCTCTTTCTCCCAACATGTGTGCCATGGCTGAGTCAACCCAATTTCAATCCCTGGCATTTCATGTGGTCCCCAGAGTCCTTCTACAAATGACCACTGAGTGAATAACCAGGAGTGACTCCTGAGCAATTCTAGGTATGACCTAAAAACAAAACAAAACAGAGAAAAAGTGTAATTATGGCAGTTTGCTACTACATACCTGGATCGGAAAACTATCATGCTGAGTTAAGTTAGAAAAAAAGGAACAGATGGTGAATGAGCTCTTTCATATGTAGATTAAAAAGTGCAACAATTTATCCCAATAAAGTCAATTGGATTGCAACATTCAGTCTCTGGCTATCAGAATTCAATCATAGAGAAACAAACTCACAAGGACTGTCCAAGCTTTAGGGTCACCTGGGAAGCCACGAGTGAACTCACGGGTTGGCCATTTATTCAATAAAATATCTCTTCTCCACTGTGACTCCCAACACATAAGCCTTTGTTTAAGCTGACAGAAACATTGGGGACAGTTACTGAGCACATCAAAATGCAATGGGTGGGGCTGGAGCCATAGCACAGCAGGTAGGGCGTGTGCCTTGCATGCGGCCGACCCCTGTTCGATTCCCGGCATCCCATATTGTCCCTCAAGCACCGCCAGGAGTAATTCCTGAGTGCATGAGCCAGGAGTAACCCCTGTGGAATGCCGGGTGTGACCCAAAAAGCAAAAAAAAAAAAAAAAAAAGGAATGGGTACTGGAAGAGCAATGGAGGGATCTTTCACTCAGTCTATCAGCAGGCACCTTAACAGAGAGAGTAAAGTCAAGACAATTTCCCCTTCTACTTTTTTTTTTCTTTGTGGGTCACACGGGTCACACCCGGCAATGCACAGAGATTACTCCTGGCAGTGCTCAGGGGATCATATGGGATGCTGGGAATCGAACCCGGGTCGGCAAAGTGCAGGGCAAATGCCCGACCCGCTGTGCTACTGCTCCAGCCCCTCTTCTTATTTTTGCCCATGTTGCCCTCTACATCTAAAAGACTCAAAACTATTGTATTCTGTCCTTTCCTGGTACAGAACCTAAGAGGACTCTCTAGGAGCCAGGAGGCCTCATGTACAATTAAATTCAATTCCCCTCTTCTTTGTCACTTATTATTCAGAGGCCCTCAGGGACTGGGCTAACAAGAAACACCGGCTCTCATCCTGAGTCCTGTGATTGATCCCCCAAGACCATGGAGGAGTAATAAGGAGTCAGCCCCACAGCCTGGAGGGTATTTCTCAGTGAAATCCTACCTGTGTCCCCTTTCATCACCATCACCTGTGCGGGTTCATGCCTGACTTGGCCTTCCTCCCCATCCCGAGCACGGAGTCTCAGGTCTCAGCATTCATGAGGGAGAGAGCTGGGGGGCCCCAGCTCCAAGCATGAGCCAGCAGAGACCCAGCAGAGACCAGTGAGTGGGTCATGACGGGGGTGGGTGGGAAGATGGTCCCAACTCTTGTCTGCTCACCTGGGCAGGTGGGTCCTGAAGATAGACATGGGGGTGCCATGTGCCTCATTTTTGCGCAGACACATGGGGAGTCCATGTTTGCTTTTCTGTTGGGGGTCTCAGATTCCTCTTGGAGAATCCTGCTCTCCCACCAGCTACTTGACTTTGTCCAGTAGACCCGAAATGTATCTCCCCCAAACTCCTTCCCAAGAACCCCAAATGCTCATGGACTCGACAATGCTCATCATTATGATGAGTCACAATAATACCAATTTTTTTAATTTAATCATTTAAAAAAAATCACTCTGGAGGGCTGGAGCGATAGCACAGCGGGTAGGGCATTTGCCTTGCTCGCAGCTGACCCAGGTTTGATTCCCAGCATCCCATATGGTCCCCTGAGCACTGCCAGGGGTAATTCCTGAGTGCAGAGCCAGGAGAAACCCCTGTGCATTGCCGGGTGTGACCCAAAAAAAAAAAAATCACTCTGGCTTGTGATCAAAGACTTGTGACAGTCTTTGATCATATGCTGTATAGTTTAACCTTTTGCTTGTGAATGATCACACATCAGATATCTGGGCATCATTATCATTTTACAATTCAGTAATTTACAGTCAGTGAAAAAACCCTAGTGTTCTTTTATGAAAATCATATTTCTCAGAGTGTAAATCTTTCTGTTTTAGCAATACAATCTTGCCATCCCATCATTTATTAGTTTTATATAGTCCTGGCATTTTTTTAAATAGGTGAAATCAAGGGTTGGTACAACCAGTAGGACATTTTGTTGGCACGAAGCCAACCTGGGTTCAATCCTCAGTTATCCCATTCAGCAATCATTGCCAGGAATAATTCCTGAGTCCAGAGCTACCCCTGAGTATCATGACCCAAAAACAAAAAATAAGAATAAAATTAAAATTTAAAAATATTTTTAAAAATTTAAATAAATAAGAATTAAAATATATATATGTACATAGATGAAGTCAAGTTTGGACCTAAGCAGGACACCTAGAACTTTGTCCTACCATTACAATCTCCCTTTCCTTCCCCAAGTCCCTCCAAGTACACTGACTTCAAGAAAACAGCCAACTAGCATTGTGGGCTTGGTCATGGCTTAGGAAACTAAAAGTTACTTATTTTAAAACAGGGTTTGGCACTTGCCTTGGAGATGAGGAGATGACAGACCCCAGCACCCCATAAGGTCCTTAGAGCAATAATTCTTTCTCCTTTTTTTGCCATTTGGGTCACACTTGGCTATACACAGGAGTTACTTCTCACTTTGCACTCAGTAATTACTCCTGGAAGAGTTGGGGATGGGGGGAGGGGACCACATGGGATGCTGGGAATCAAACCCCAGTCAGCTGCTTGCAAGCAAACACGCTACCTGCTGTGCTATAGCTCCAGCCCCCATGAATAATTTTTGAGCACAGAGCCAGGAGAAAGCCCTCAGGGTGGCTGGGTGTGACCCAAAATTAATAAATAAATAATTAAAAATCCTTTGATTCCTTTTGATTTTCCTGACTTCACAGGAACACAGTTTGCATTACATCTTCCAGGTACTGTGGGACTTTTGTGCCTGTGATTTTTATTGTCTTGCATCATTATTCATGATAATATTTTTAAAAATACTAATTTATCACTTCCCTGCAAATCTTCTTCCCAGAGTGAGTTTAATTTAACCCCGAGGAAAGGGTTATGTTAAAACTCAAATTCGTAACCAAACTGATGGCAGATGTTAACAATGGAACTGCTGTTTAAAATGAACATCTAGGGCCAGAGTGATAGCACAGCAGGTAGGGCATTTGCCTTGCACGGGGACGACCCAGGCTCAATCCCCGGTATCCCATATGGTGCCCGAGCACCGCCAGGAGGAATTCTTGAGTGCAGAGCCAGGAGTAAGCCCTGAGCATCGCTGGGTGTGACCCCAAAAGCAAAAAAGAAAAAAATGTTTGATGGAATGGACATCTACCTGTTTGGTGGGTTAAAAGCCACTGGAGAGATGTGGGTCTGCATGGGATGGCGTGGGAGGAGTCTTGAGTCCACAGAGGTACAGCATCATAGCTGACTTAAGTGGCAGGACTCTATGCTACTTCATGCAACATTAATGGTTAAGAGGGAAAGCTTATATATTGAATGACAAGGAACATCCAAAGGGTCCTGTGTAAAAGGAAAAGCATACTGGAGATGACAAATGAGCAGATTAGTAGGGTTTTTTTCCTCTCAATGCCAAGGATAAGACCATTTTCACTTAGAGTTCAAGGGTATAGACCCAGAGTAATGGTACAGCAGGCACCCGGATTGGATCCGCAGCAGATAGCCCATGTGGTCTCCCAAGCCCACTAGGAGTGACCCCTGAGAGCAAAACTAAGAATTCCCTAAAGCACCCTGGGAGTAACAAGAAAATAATAAATTTCAAGGGTACAAGTGTACAATGACCACCATTGGGTTCTTGAGAATTGCAGATGGTGTTGCAATGGAGAATTTAACCAAGATAATAGGCCCGATGATCAAGGCAAGGTATGTATATCTGTCATCTGATTTTATGATTAAAAGCATTTGATTTATTTTTCACCTTTTTTATGAAAGAGTTCCAGTATGGTAAGGGGTATGCCTCTGTTTTGTTTTGTTTTGTTTTTCTCTCCCAAACCAGGTTTATCTTTTCTATTTGTTATACTTACATGTATATGTCTCTCTCTCTCTTTCTCTCTCGCTTTCATTTTCCTTTCAGGCACTATGTACAGGGCATAACATAGGGCATTTGCCTTACATGTGGGAGTAATTACAGAGTGCAGAGTCAGGAATAACTCTCAAGCATCATCAGGTAGCCCCCCCAAATTAATTAATTTAACTAATTAATTAAAACTTGAGGAAGATAATATGATTTCACCTGAAGTTGACTAACAACGCTCTGTTATTTCTGTATACTTCAAAAGGATCACCTCAAATATTGCCCTTTCCATGAACCACCATATAAATCTTGCACAGATTCTGTTGTGATAGCCTCAGACTACTGGTGTCCACACTTTCAGGAAACGTCAAACCAGTATCATTGCAACCCAGAATTCTTTTTTTTTTTTTGCTTTTGGGTCACACCCGGCGATGCACAGGAGTTACTCCTGGTTCAAGCACGCAGGAATTATTCCTGGCGGTGCTCGGGGGACCATATGGGATGCTGGGAATCGAACCTAGGTCAGCTGCATGCAAGGCAAATGCCTTACCCGCTGTGCTATTGCTCCAGCCCCACAACCCAGGATTCTTAACTCTAGTTCTCATGGTATATAAATAGCCACTGAATTCTTTTTTTTCTATACAGAGAATTCAGACTTTCTTCACAACTATCCCAACTGTTGGGCAGAGAGAGATGAGTGATGACACAGTTTTAAGTTTTGACAGAATGGAATGAGGGATGTGACTCTTGATAGAATACTTGTTTTGCAGGTGTCAGGCTTCTTCACACAACTGTTGGCAGGGACTGGAGTGATGGCACAGAAGTTAGGACACTTGTCTTATATGCAGCCAACCTGGGTTTGATCCCCAGCACCCTCAAACTCTGTCACTGTCCTCCCGTTGTTCATCAATTTGTTACAAGTGGGCCCAGTAACGTTTCCATTTTTTGAGACTTATTGTTACTGTGTTTGGCATATTGAATACCTCATGGGTAGCTTGCCAGGCTTTGCTTGCGGGCAAGATACTCTCGGTAGCTTGCTGGGCTCTCCGAGAGGGGCGGAGGAATCGAACCCGGCTCAGCTGGGCTGGCTGCATGCAAGGCAAACGCCCTACCGCTGTGCTATCGCTCCAGCCCACCCTCAAACTCTTTTTTTTTTTTTGGCTTTTTGGATCACACCGGCGATGCTCAGGGGTTACTCCTGGCTCTGTACTCAGGAATCACTCCTGACGGTGCTCAGGGGACCATATGTGATGTGCTGGGGGACGAACCCAGGTCAGCCATGTGCAAGGCAAACATCCTGCCCACTGTACTATTGCTCCCATCCTTCAGAAGTCATTTCTGAGTGTGGAAGAAGGAATAACCCCTAAGCAACACCAGGCATGGCCCCAAAAAAACAAAAATTCATTCATTCCATTGTTAGCATCAGATATAAGTAAACAATGGTGATGAGACAATAGAACCAGAGACTGTATTGAGGTTTTCATAAATAGGTATGCAAAGAATATTAATTGGCCTTTATTGGAGTAAAAACTATCCCGTATTAGTTTATTTTTGTAGAATATATTTTTTATTTTATTTGGTTTTCAGGCCACACCTGGTAGTGCTCAGGACTTAATCCTGGGTATGCACTCAGATATCACACTCAGCAGGGCTCAGGTGACATATGAGGTGATAAAGATTGAACTGGGGTCTATTGCATACAAGATAAACACCTTACCCACTGTACTATCTCTCTGGTCCCCAGAAATTCTTTTTGGCTTTTTGGGTCACACCCAGTGATACTCAGGGGTCACTCCTGGTTCTGCACTCAGGAGTTACTCCTGGCAGTGCTTAGGGTACTTCTGGGATGCCAGGGATCAAAACCAGGTCGGCTGTGTGCAAGGCAAATGCCCTGGGTCCGCCATGTGCAAGAGAAATGCCCTAGCCACTGTAATATCACTCCAGACCTCTAGAATTTTTTTAAATTCCTAAAATATTTTTTAAATGGAGAATCAGAATATATCTTAGTCCCCAATTATAAAGTATTGGACAGCTATTTAGCATTAATTTACAGTTTTAGTACATTTTAAGTATTATTCTACTAGTGCTGTCATTTCAAATGAATGACTATTGAAATAGGAAGATCGATCAAAGTGAATGAGAAAAAATGTTTTAAGAATATTTGTTATGGGCCAGAGCAATAGTACAGTGGGTAGGGCATTTACCTTGCATGTGGTTGACCCGGGTTCGATCCCCAGCATCCCATATGTTCTCCCCAGTACCGCCAGGAGTAACCCCTGAGCATCGCCGGGTGTGACCCAAAAATAAAAAAAAAGAATATTTATCACAACCAAGAAACATGGATAAAAATGGATAGAACTCAAGGTCAATTACTTTTTTTTTCAAGCACCCAGCGATGCTCAGGGGTTACTCCTGGCTCTGCACTCAGGAATTACTCCTGGCGGTGCTCGGGGGACCATATAACATGCTAGGGATCAAACACAGGTCGACCACAGGCAAAGGCAAATACCCTCCCCGCTGTACTATGACTCCAGCCCCTCAATGACTTTTTTAATTTCTTAAATCAAGTCTACAGACCCAGTAATGGAGCCCTGTTTGTGTACACCCGCTCTTATTTATTTCTCACAAGATGTCTCTGCACCGTGAACCCACACAATGAAACAGGGGCCGTGGAATTCCTCCTCCTGGGTCTCTCAGATGATCCCAAAATCCAGCCCCTCCTCTTCGGTCTCTTCCTGTCCATGTACCTGGTCACCATCACCGGGAACCTGCTCATCATCCTGGCTGTCAGCTCTGACCCCCGCCTGCACACGCCCATGTACTTCTTCCTCTCTAACTTGTCCCTGAGTGATATTGGTTTTACCTCCACCACCATCCCAAAGATGATCTGGGACCTTCACACTCGGCATCGAATCATCCCTCATGCCGGCTGCCTGGTGCAGTTGTCTGTTTTTGCCTTTTTTGCCTCTTTGGACAGTTTGCTTCTCACCGTGATGGCCTATGACCGCTTTGTGGCCATCTGCCATCCCCTGCACTACCCCGTCATCATGAACCCCCACCTCTGTAACACCCTAGCACTGGGATCGGTCATTGTGACTCTCTTGAATTCCCAGGTGCACTGTTGGATGATGCTACCACTGACCTTTTGCACCCGTGTGGAAATCCCTCACTTCTTCTGTGACCCCCCTCAACTCCTCAGGTTCGCCTGTGACAATATCTCCACCAATAACCTATTAATATATGTTATTGGTGCCATCTTTGGTGGCATACCATTCTTAGGGATCCTGTACTCTTATACAAGAATTGTGTCCTCTGTTTTGAGAGTCTCGTCCACAGTGGGGAGGTCCAAAGCCTTCTCCACCTGTGGCTCTCACCTGTCCGTTGTTTGCTTATATTATGGAACGGGTCTTGGGGTGTACCTCAGCTCAGCTGTGTCCCATTCTCCCAGGAAGGGGGCAGTATCCTCAGTGGTGTATACAATGATTGTCCCCATGCTGAACCCCTTCATCTATAGCCTTAGAAACAAGGACATCAAAAAGGCCTGCCAGAAGCTTCTCAATAAGACAGCATAATCTTTTGATAGAGCAATAGCACAGCGGGTAGGGTGTTTGCCTTACACACGGCCAACCTGGGTTGGATTCCCAGCATCCCATAAGGTCCCCCGAGCACCGCCAGGAGTAATTCCTGAGTGCAGAGCCAGGAGTAACCCCTGTACATTGACAGGTGCGACCCAAAAAGCAAAAAAAAAAAAAGACAACATAATCTCCATGTTTATTTTACCATTAGAGAATGGTTGCAAATCCAATCACCTGGAAATGACACTGAGATTTCTAAACTCCTCGTTTTTGTAACAGAATATTACATATCTCTATGTACAACTATCTGAAAATTGTTAAATTGCTTGCTTTTGCTCTTTTTGTTTATTTTTGTTTGTTAGCTTGCTTGCTTTTGCTTTAGGACCACACCTCAGCAGTGCTCAGGGGTGACTCCTGGCTCTGCACTCAGGAATTCCTCCTGGAGATTCAGAGACCATATGGGATGCCGGGGATCAAATCCAGGTCAGCTGCATGCAAGGCACCAAGAGTGATTCCTGAGTGCAGAGCCAGGAGTAAGCCCTGAACATGGCCCGGTGTGGCCAAAAAAATAAAATTAATTATTAAATAAGCACAGCTTCTCGGGGCCGGAGTGATAGTGCGAAGGGTCAGGCGCTGACCTTACACAGGGCTGACCCGGGTTTGATCCCCCACATCCCATAGGGTCCCCCGAGCACCACCGGGAGTAATTCCTGAGCCCAGAGCCAGAAGTCACCCCTGAGCAACGCCAGGTGTGGCCCAAAAACCAAAAAATAAAAAACACAGACTCTTCAAGGTGGGTATCTTTCTTGCATCCCTCAGAGGGGCTGAGCAAAACGGCATCACTAGTCGCCCACTGAGTGCCAAGAACATCTGCGACTACCCAAACCGGCTCCACACTCCGCCAGGACCTTGTGGATAAAAACCTCCCCCTGGGGTGTGAATCTCTGCCGGTCACCCTTTACTCTGATCCTAGAGCATCTTGTCTCCAAATTCCAGCCACACCCTCCGTTCAGCTCCCTGAGAGCCACTGGTCTCTGCTTCAGTACCCCAGTTCTGCAAGTGCCCCACGGTGTCAAGTGGCCCAGATATCACCAGGGAGCCCAGGAGGACTCGGGCCAAGACTGAAAATACCCAGCTGGTGCAAAAAGCCGTAGAGGGGGTGGGACCGACACAGATCACAAGAGGCACAGTAAACATCAGCTGGGAAAATAAATACCTGCCCTGACCTTCGCGGGCCGGGAGGACACACAGTACATGCGGGCAGCTGCAGAACTGACCAGAAACATGACCTCCAAGAACACTCTGCAGCCCTCCAGCAACCAAACCCAAACCCCCTCTCTCCCCCTCTCTTTCTCCCTCTCCTCCCTTACCCCACCCCTCCTATCTCCCTTTCCCTCCCCCCCTCACTGCCATTCTCTCCTCTCTCTCTCTCTTCCCCTCCCCCCTCATCCTCCCTCCTCCCATATGGTCCCCTGAGCACTGCCAAGAATAATTCCTGAGCACTGAGCCAGGAGTAAGCCCTGAGCACCGCTGGGTGTGATCCAAAAGCAAAAAAAAAAAATGACATTGAAAGTACATCAGTAGGGCCAGAGGGATAGTAGAGGGTGCAGGGCGCTTGCCTTGCATGCAGCTGACTGGGGCTTGGCACCCCTAGAGTCCCTGGAGCCCCTCTCCCCGACAAGAGTGATCCCTGAGTCCAGGAATAAGCCTCAAGCATCACTGTGTGAAGCCCCACCCACAGAAAAGGAAAGGGGGAAAAAAGAAAAGAAAAAAAGGGAAAAGAAAAGAGAAAAGAAAATAAAAGAAAAAAAAAGAAAAAAGGCACAGCGGTCAATGAAATCCTGCTATTAAGAGAGAAGACAGTGACCCTACAGCGTTCCGGTGTTAACTCTCCCCTCTGCTCACTCCTACCAACCACTAGAGTGGCTTCATCCTGGTTCTTAAAGTCCAGAGGATCAGAAAGGCGCCCCGCCTGCACCATAACCCCAGAAGGATACCCTGAGTATGTGCCAGTTCAACAAACCACCTCTGCACCTTTAACCTGCCTTTACCACAAGCCCCCGAACCCAGCCCAGCTGACACTGGACTAGGGACTACCACCCGCCGCGGGATCCCTTTAAGGGCCGGGAGCGGAAGCGGAAGCTGATTCAGAATTTGGGATTGGTGAAACCTGCAGGGTGGGCGAGTAGTGTTCTCCAATCAGAGCGCAAAGAAACCTTCGGGGCTCCTGGGATCTCATTGGACCTAGACGAATGACTCCGCCCCTACGGCCTTCTAGGGCCCGGACCGCTTTGTGGGCGTGGTTAGACAGGACACACCCTTATAGGGGCGTGGTTAAAACCAGACCGAGGCTCAGGGTGCGGCTGGGGGCGTGGTTTCCCCCGCAATCTCTATGTCCCAGTTTCTGTGATAAACAGTCACCCGTTTCTTGTAAGCTTCCCCACCAATGCTCTCATGAGTCTCACACAGCCCTAGAAAAGGTGACTGGTCGAAAGTAGACTATGGACTGAACATGTTTGCCACTCAATGCCTCTTTTGCAGACCACAACACCCAAAAGGAGAGAGAGAACACAGGGGATTGCCCTGCCACAGAGACAGGGGGGATGGGGGGATGGGGATGGGAGGGATATTATCCATGGTGGTGGAAAATGGGCACTGGTGGAGGGATGGGTATCTGATCATTGTATAATTGAAACCAAAGCACAAAAAATTGTAAATCTACAACTTTAAAAAAAATAAAATAAAATAAAGGGGAAAAAATAAAATAAAATAAAATAAGATGAAAAAGCAAGAAAAAAAAAAGAAAAGGTGACTGGTGTATTAAGATCATCCCCTTGTTGGAGTTTTTCTTCCCCGAATTTCTTCTTGAAATTAGGTCATATTTTTATACATTTCCCGGCTGGTGCCTTTTCTTATTGGTGCATGTTGTATCCTGTTCTGGCCACTGGGTGGCAGCCTAGCTCACATTTTCAGGTGGTGACGAATTTGTTTTTTTCGCATTGGCTAGATCCCGGGAAAATGAATGTGGGTTTTCCCCACGAAACACTCATTAAGGACATTTAATGTTCTGTACTTTGGTCTCTGTAGTGGGAAAAGAACAGGTTTATAAATAAAACAAGGGGGCAGGAGGGTAACTGGTGGACATTGGTAGTGGAAAATGTACACTGGTGAAGGGCAGGATGTTGGAACATTGTATGACTGAAAGTCAGTCATGAACAACTCTGTAACTGGTGATTCAATTTAAAACTAAATTAATTTTTTTAAAAAAATAAAATATATGAGTCCTTATCCTTTAATTATGCCTTTAATTATACCTTTATACGTCAAGGATATTACTAATGTATCTGAACCTCATTATGCATATATATTTTAAGATAAAAAAATAACAAACTAGGACTGGAGCTATAGTACAGTGGATAGGGCGTTTGCCTTACACGCGGCAGATCCGGGTTCAATCCCCAGAATCCACAGGCCCCCCCCAGCACCACCAGGAGTAATTCCTGAGTGCAGAGTCAGGAATACCCCCAAGCATCACCAATGTGACCCAAAAAGCAAAATAATAATAGTAATAATAATAAAAAACTAAAAATAAAAACAAGGCCCAGAGAGATAGTACAGTGGGTAGGGCACTTTCCTTGCATGCAGCCAATCCAAGTAGAATCCCCAATTCTCTATATGGTCCCCCAAGCCCTGCCAGGAGTGATCTCTGAATGCAGAGCCAGGGGTAAGTCCTGGGTACTGCGGGGTGTGGCCCCAAAACAAAAAACCAATCAAAACCAAAGAAATTATAAGCAGAACTGGTGAGATGCCTTCAGGGGCTGAAGTGTGGGCTTTGACAGAGCCCCAGTTTCATCCCTGATACTACTGGGTCCCTCAAGCACCCCTAGGAGCCACCAGGGAACCCCTAAGCACTGCTGGGTGTGGCCCAAAATAAAAAGCAAAACAATAGCATACACAGACATCCTAGTCTTCCTCCTGTTTTGATTCCAGCTGAGAGGAACTGTGTATTAAGGATGTTGCTAATGGCTCACGTAATAACTATAATGCGTTCCGCAGGGACAGGAGAGTAACTGCGAGAATCATCCCCGGATCCTGAAGAGCCTCTTGTTTTCCATCACACACCGCAAAACCTCTATCCAGATCTAACTGCTCCCTTTCTCATTGTCTGGGGAAACAGACACTCCCCAGATTTCGGGGATGGTGTCCTGGGATGCTGGCAGAAACGAAAGTGATAAAAGTGGAAGGCGGAAAAAACTCCTGCCTATCTGCAACCGTTTTCTGCACTTGGAGCCTAACGAGGATGTTAGGGGACCGGAGATACAAGACAGCAGGGTGGGCGCTTGCCTTGCACACAGCTGACCTGGGTTCAACCACTGGCACCCCAGAGGGTCTCCAGAGCACCACCAGGAGTGATGCCTGAGTACAGACACAGATATGACCCCTGAGCATCCCAGAGGGTCCCCTGAGCACATCCAGGAGTGATTCCTGAGTGCAGAGCCAGGAGTAACTCTGAGCACTGCCGGGCGTGCCCCCAAATCACAACCACAACAACACAACAGAAAAAAGGTAGAAGGGAAGGAAAGCACATTGAAGAAAACTGAGACCAAATTTCAAAGAAATAAACAAAAAAATTAAAATTGAGGGGCTGGAGTGATAGCACAGTGGGTAGGGCATTTGCCTTGCACGCGGCAACCGGGGTTCGATTCTCAGCATTCCATATGGACCCCCAGCACCGCCAGAGGTGATTCCTGAGTGCAGAGCCAGAAATGACCCCTGTGCATCGCTGGGTGTGACCCAAAAAGCAAAAAAGCAAAAAAAAAAAAATTAAAATTGATTAGAAAAGGAGAGGAAGGAAGGAAGGAAGGAAGGGAGGAAGGAAGGGAGGAAGGGAGGGAGGGAGGGAAAGAGGAGGGAGGAAGGGAACACTCCGCACACAAAAGCCTCGGAACACAGCCTCCCTGAACCCAGGGACCACTGAGCCCAGGGATCAGAGTCCT